CCAGGCTGACCTTGAACTTGTGATACTTAGCCTTCTGAGTCACTGAGATTACAGGTGGCCAGGGATATAGTGTGATGGTAGGGTGCTTGCCTAGCTGTGTGAGGCCCTAGATTAGATTCCCTGCATCACAAAAACAAACAAACAAACAAATTTATTCCAATGTTTTACATAGCAAAAGAATCATGTCCTGAATAATAACATATTGCTTTTTATGACATCTAATGATTTAATCATGGCATTTAATATAACATTTATATACTAGAATTCATGGATATAAAAAGCATAAAATAGAACTGTTTATAATTTTGAACTTTACATTCTTGTTATGTACATCAGTTTCAGTCCAGGGTGCTTGGAACATAAATGTATTCTGTGTGTACATATATATATATGTATGTGTATATACATGTATACATGTATGTACATACATGCACATACACTTTAAGCATAGGAAAATACTACCTAGTTTCTGTATATATATGAAGTGTCAAATGTTTACCATTTTTTATTTTTGATTTTTAATTATTTTATTTAAAGCCTAACAGTTTTAAAACATAGTGCTGCCTGACGCAGTGGTGCATACCTGTAATCCCAGCGGCTCAGGAGGCTGGGGCAGGAGGATATGAGTTCAAAGCCAGCCTCAGCAAGGTGCTAAGCAACTGAGTGAGACCCTGTCTCTAGATAAAAGTACAAAATAGGGCTGGGAATGTGGCTCTGTGGTTAAGTGCCTTTGAGTTCAGTCCCTTGTACCCTCCCACAAAAGAAAAAGAAAAAGAAAACAGCAGTGCCATGCCAAAAAAGAGAGAGATGAGAAGTGCTTGTCTTGTAAATAAAAACCTATGTCCAATCAGTCAAAGAAATCCCCAGTTCTGATTGATTGATTGATTGTCTCTTTATTCCTCCTGGAGAGGTAAAGAAATGGGTTTTTTCAAATTTTCTTCATAAAGATTAAGTGACCTAGCTCTTCAGGACTGTGAATGTTGGCTTATAGCAAACTCTGGAATATCTTGGTTACTGGTAGATTTTAGTAGATTTTGAATTGTAAAGAGAAAGGAGAGATCAAAAGGGCAATGGAGGAATAACTCAGAAAAGAAAGACAAAGGGAAGCCCAGGGGCAGAGCTGAGAAACCCAACAGAACTGGGAACTCCCACCCAAGAGGTCCCTTGCTCAGGTACACATTCCAGAGAATAAAGAAACTCACAGTTTTTCTCTGTTCTCTTCAAGAAGAGTAACTCTCCACTCCCTTATCCTTTCCTCATCTATGCATAACTGGTTAGCTCTACACCTAATTTTGAAAATACCAGTAATTAACATGAACTAGTATTTGTTCTAAATTTGAATTTCAATAATTTGATTTGCTCAACTGTCAAAAGTATGATGTGTCAATAAATTTGATACTTGTTTTAAGATTAAAGTAAATTAATTTTTATTTGAAACATATTTGCTTTTCTTTTTGAAATGTAACCATATACCTTGAGATAAGTTGTTTTATTCTATGTTGTTGTCAAAAAAGCAGGTTAGAGCTGGGTAAAACTGTTCTCCAGAATAGATTTTAGATAGTGTACATTCATGTGCTGTTATTCAAAAAAATTTTTTTTCTTGTCTAATGAAGGTGAGTTTTTCTTTATTAAGATGTATTACTTTTTTGTTATGAAATATATGCTCATTGTAGAAAGTAGCAAAATAAAAAAGAACATGTATTATTCCTTAACTCATAGATATCACTGTCAACATTACTGTATTTTCTATGTTAAAAATTCCTCAGAAATTATTTTTTGACAATTTATACAATCTTCCAAACCTAGAGACCTAATTTATTTAATCATTCCCCTATTGTTGGATAGCTAGAGTATTTCTAAGTTTCTACAGTTATAAAGAAACTTTTCATGAATATTCTAAGTGTAAATTAGAATTATTGGTTTTTACTTTCTCTGCCCAAATAAATAAATAGTTTTTTAACATGTTTCAAAACATAACTCTTTTTTTTCCCCCCTTACATAACTTCCCACCCCTTGTAAATTCTCTCTTTCTTGGCACTAATTCTAGGCATCTCATCTCTATAAGTGACCAAAAGTCTAAGGACTTTTAATGCATGATAAAATGTTTGTCTTGTATCTCATCCCCCTCAAGGCTCAAGATGTTAACTAGTTAATCTGATGAACTAATTGATGCTTATGGAAGAGGCTCCCAGGTAATTCAAAATTTCCAGAGACACTGGCCCAGCAGGGCCTTTTTGGTTAAGTCATTAGTGATTCGATGGAGATTCCAATTAGGCAAGAAAGGAAGGAAGAGCTGTCCTAGAGATAACGATTACATTCCATTTTCTTTTCTACTATTTCAGTCTTCTCTGAAATACCTAAGAATCTTCAGTCTTCCCTATTTCTTTCTGAATGGTTGAGATAGAATATTACAACCAGAGGAGATGAATGATATCTGATATTATATATGATAGAAAACAAATAATAGTTTATATTATTTAACTATTTAAATATTATTTAACTATATTATATTTATTTAACTATATTAAAAGGCAAGGTAAAATTGGCCCTATTGTTAGCCTTTAATACCTAGGTCTTCTCTACCTATTATAAGACTTAGTATGTCCTAGAGAAATTATACAATGTAGTAATTCCATGGTTCTGGGCATTGGGCAGGCCTAGATCTAATCCCATCACTGTCTTTAGTTATTTTGTAACCTGAGACAAATTACAGCAATTCTCTAATCTCCCCCTGTCTTACTTATGAAATTACTATAAAGTATCTTCTCTAAGAGTATTGATTCTGACCCCAGAAGTCATCCCATTTAGGATCACTCAGGTGATATTGTTAGGACTTTGTTGATATGGACATGCTAACTCCTTTTTCTTGTATTTTTAACAAATTGTTTTGATATTTAAAAGCAGAGTGCTGAAATGCTCTTTATTAAGTCATTTTTAAACATACAAATAAAGTGTTTGTACCCTCTTACAGTGGCAGCTGAATCCATCTGGAGCTTATGATCTTGAACAAAACGAGCCTGAAAGGAGAGAAAGTAAGTATCTCAAGTCCTCTGTGGAGGCTAACTACTAGAGGCCAGCTGCTGAGGAAAATGGGCACTTGGTGAATGTCAAAGGTCATGTGACGGAGTTGTTTTGTTAATAGATGGATCTTATTCTTTATACAGATTAGATGTTTGTCTTTCAATTTATTCAAAAACATTTGCATATCTACTATATGCAAGATGCTGGGGAAAGTACCTATTAATAATTATTCCTGTAGATTCTGCAGTTTAATACAAATAATCATGACAAATTGAATTTATAAATTTATATGAAACAGTAAAGAACAATTCTTGTTTATACCAAAACAAAGGCTTCTTGGGTGTGAGAAATGAAAAATATATATAATTAGTGCAAGTGGATCTAGGAAGAAGTGATGAGGACAGTGGTACTTGTATATCCTTCTAGAGTAAAGCCACAGGTGCTCAGGTTGGTCAGAGAATGGACATGTTCTGTTATTTTAATAATCTGATTAAGAATCATCAGAGATACCATAAGTAAATTACTAGTCTTAAAAGTTTTGTTATTTGCACACTAACACAATTATTTTGATAATAGTAATATAATCTTTAGGAGATCCAATTTAAAAATAGTAGCTGTGTAATAATTGTAGAGTCTAGATAAATGGAAGTGTACTATAAATTTTCTTGATAACAATGGATTGATTACCCTGAAACATTAAAAAATATGAAGGTCTCTACGAAAATATGAATGTTTTGATTTTCTGTGATCTGAATTAGCTTTATTTTATTCAGACAGTAAATTTATTATTGGCAATCTGAAAAAAATACATATTCACTGTTTTTTCTTTTTAAAAAAATTATCAAGAAAAAAAGTAATGAAAAAATAAAGGAAAATATAACTGATTAAAGATAGTATTTTTAATGACACTGTTTGAAGCTCAATTAAAAATTTCCTAAGGTAGGAAAAGGAAACAGAAAGATAAACTATATTGTCTGTGTTAAAAGCATCTTTTCATCAGAAGATGCCATCCACGGCATGAAATAGAAAGTATTTACTACTTAGAGTCAACGATAGGCCTTTATTTAGGATAAAAGTCCTGAGATTGGAAGGAGGGGACAGAAGAAGGTATCTGGTTCACTGGCAATGTTTTATTTATCGACCTAGATAATGGCTAAATGTATGTTTACTTTTTGACAGCTCATTAAACTGTATGTTCATGCATTTTTTAACAAGTGTTTTATGTTAGTAAATAATATCCTTATCGCCTTTTCAATTATATGACAGCTTTATTAAGATATTCATATATCAAAAATTCACCCCTTTTAGAGTCTAGAATTCTGTCAATTTTACTATGTTCAGAATTGTGCAGCCATCACCACAACCCAATTTCACAACATTTTCATTGACTTAAAAAGAAACCTTGTACTCATTTCAGTCGCTCTCCCCCGGCCCTAGGCAACCACTGGTCCACTGTTAAGTTTTTATGGATTCATCTAGTCTGGCCATTTCATATAAATGGAATCATACAGCATGTGGTTCCTTTCCAGTTTTTCATTCTGTGGAGAAGCAGACACAAGAATCAAACAGATGAAAGTTGAAATCCCAGCTTTATTGCTGGGCTGAAGCTTGACCTTTGGCCAAATCAATGTGTCAGGCTCTGGGAGGCAGTGGGGGTTGCTGCCTCACGTCCTCTCAAGGCCAGCACCAGGAATGGAAGCCAAAGGCAAGTAGCAGTGCGATGGACTGCTACTATTTGGGTTCCGCTAGAGAGCTGGAACCCAAATAACACAACTCAGGCTTTCTTTGCAAAGAATTGTTGGGCTTTCAAGGAAATGAAGGAACTATCCAGGAACGCATCCTCCCTTCCAAAAATAAATAAATAATAAAGAGAGATAAGAAGAATATTTGCCCGAACATAAAAAGCAACAGTAAGCAAACACATAAGCCAATGTCCATAGCAGCTGGGCTCTTGAGAGGAAGTGGGGGGTCTGCTGCAAGATTACAAACTGAACCTCAGATTCCGACATTAAGCTGGGAGTCCTTAAAGGAAGCTAAAAGACCCCCTCTCAGCGGTACCTCCTAACTGCTGGCAGAAGCAAATGCAGATTCTGTTAGAAGGAAAACCTTCCCAGCTGAGGCCCACAGGGTATAATGAGTCCATTAGTTCATTACTGAAAAGTCAACAAATAGAAGATATATCCCCATGATCAAGACTGAACAGAAATGGCAAACAGCATAGTGAGACTCCTGAGGACTTCCTGTTCTGGTGTTATCAACTAGACAGTATAAAATGTTTAAGAAGTAAAATAGACTTTTTAAAAAAATCTAAAGTAAACAAGCCATTAAAAAAATCAAATCTGAACTGGGTGTGGTAGCGCTTGCCTATAATTCCAGAGACTCCTGAGCCAGGAGGATCACAAGTTCGAAGTCAGCCTCAGCAACTTATTGAGGCCCTAAAAAATTTAGTAAGACCCTGTCTCAACATAAAACTCTTTTAAAGGACTGGGGATGTGACTGAGTGGTTAAGTGCTCCTGTGTTAAATCCTAACATTTAAAAAAAAATGTTTAGTACAGAGTTGGTAATTTTGAAAAGAATATGATAGAATTTGGAGGAAAAAAAATCCAGACAGCCATATTATATAGATACTTTAAAAAAAATTTTTTTTGTAGTTGTAAACAGAACACCTTTATTTGTTTATTTTTATGTGGTGCTAAGGATCGAACCCAGTGCTTCAAGCATGCCAGGCAAGTGCTCTGCCACTGAGCTACAGCCCCAACCCCCTAGATAAGTACTTTTATTAATGCTGCTACATAGATGAGGAACCAAGACTTACAAAGGTCAAGGCTCTAAACCACCAGAAATGAAATTTGAGACCAGGTCTTGAGTTCTAGAAAGTGCATCTTATACATTGCTTTTTGTTAATAACTACCTGGTCCAGCCCCTTTGTTAGAAGTGGTTAGAGGATCAGAGAGGGCAGAGTGACTTGCGCAAGGTCAGTTCCTGACAGGTCCAGTTTTCCAAGATTTTCAGTGTTCTTTCTAACAGGTTGCCCAAGTGTAATCTAGAATTTAAAGAAAAGGCAGTTCAAGATTGGGCACTTGCTATAAGGTGAGAGGCTTGTTTTTTCTTCCATTAATTGCTTTGAGTCCCATTTTACAGGCATTATCATCTTTGGGACCAATATAGTACTTCCATGGGTATATCTTGGCATAAAGTGTCAGGGGAAAGAGAGAGAAACGCTGAAATTGAAGGTAAAGTGCACTTGCTAAGTTCCAGGTGATAATTTTACATGGAGAGCATTTTATGAAACTTGTCTACCAGAGTCATCTCATGGAATCTTCTCATGCTTTGGGGAAGCATCCTCATTTCCTAGGCATGCTGATAATACCTTCTTGTGGATTATTGCAATTTATCTCTGCAGTAACCCTCTATGATAGATGTTATTATCTTCATTAGGCAAATAAAGAAGCTGAAGCTCCTTGAAGTGAAGTAACTAGGCCAAAGATCTACACCCCATGAGTGGTAAAGCCAGAATTCAAAGCTCAGTAGTCTATTTCTAGAATCCATGCTCTTCTGCTTTGTCATATCACCACTTTAAACCAGGAAGAAGAATCAGAAATGTCTACCTTGGTGAGGAGAAGTGTCCAGGAAGTGGTGAAGTGTGTCTTGATGTGTTGCGATCATGGGAGTCAACCAAACCACAGAATGTAGAACCAGTGGTGGAAAGCACAGCGACACATATCGTGGCTTGACAAAGAGAAAAACTCTCAGTGATAGTCTGAATTGTCCAGAATTGTCCTCCCTCATGAGGCAGTAAGCTCCCTGTCACCATGGAGGTGGGAGCACAAGATGTCACAGGAGGAATATTGATGGGTACCCTCCCTCCATGTAATGCTTTGATTGAGGTGGCATTTAGGAGGCAAGCATCTCTCTCTCCCAAGGGATGTTTGTAAAGAGACTAGAGATATTTCACTTGCACAGAAAGGAGTTTGGGGGAGAAAGAATCCATGTTATCATGGTCCAAGGAACTACATCAGGACCTTCTCTGGTTCTCTTAACTGGAAAAGATCTCTCTCCTGCACATTCCTATATCATGTTATACTCAGACTTCTCTTATAACACTGAAAAAAAAGTACAGTTGTTAAAAAGTCAGTGGATAAGTTAAGCCACTATTTACTAAAGGGCACACTGTTGGTATTTTGATTGATAAAGCTTTCTAGTGCGGGGCATTGCCCCATGGATTATGGGACATTTAGCATCCCTAACAGAGCGAGCCATGCAAATCACAGGCGCGATGATAAACTATTTAATATGTAGTGCTGGAAAATGGTTAATGCATGTAGAAAAACTGATAATGAATTTTTACCTCACATAATACTCAAAATTCCATATGAATTAAAGAGACAAAGCAAATTTCAAGTTTTAGAAGAAAATACAGAATTTTTTATGACCTGAAATAGGAAGAACAACTTAAGCAGAATACAAATAATGCTGACTATAAAAGAAAAACTTGACAAATTATAGAATACATTCCAAGTAAGGGCTTATCTTCTCCAAAAGACATTATCAAGAAAGTGAAAGGGAGCTGGGGTTGTGGCTCAGTGGTACAGTACTTTTGAGGTCCTGGTTTCGATCCTCAGCACCACATAAGATTAAATAAATAAAAAAGAAAGAAATTGAAAGGACCAGTCATCCCCTGGAAGAACAGATTTTCCACTAACGTAAAAAAAAAAAAAAATTCTACTAACTGATAAGGATAAAAATTAATAGAAAAATGTTTCTTTTGGGTATTTACATCAGCAGAAATGTAAATGTCTGATAAACATATGAAAGATGATCATACTCAGTAGTGGTCGGAGAAAGGCCAATTAAGATCACATTGAAGCAATGTTTTTATACCTATTGGATTTATACAATTCAAATTTGCCAATACCAACTGCTAGTGAGGATGTGGATTATTAGAAATTTTTATATGTTGCTAGGGAGATTGAAAGTTTTACAACCACCTTGGAAAATAATTAGACATTATCTTTGTAAAGCTGAACATGCATGTATGTACTCCATGACCCAGTAATTTCAACTTCTAAGAAATCTTGCATCTTGTATAAAAGACCAAAATATAACAAATTCATTGCAATGTTATTCTTAAAAACAAAAACTGAAAATGACACAGATATTTAGCTTGTGAGATTACATTTAAAATATAGTATATTCTCACAATGAACTACAACATAACAGTGAAAATAAGTGAACTATTGCTACATTCTTTGACACAGGTGAATCTCAAAAAGATAAATGTTGAACAAAAAAATACAGAAGACTATCTTTTGAATTTCTGTATAAAGTTTAAAAAGAAACCAAATAGCATATTGTTTAATGTATGTAGTAAAATCGTTAAGAAACAATAGAAAGATAAACACAAAATTCAAGATAGTGGTTACATCTGAATGGGGAGAAGGGATGAGAAGAGAGAAGGAAGGCAACTGATAATGTTGTAGCCATTATTTGGGACAGTAGCTTTTAATTTTTTCTCTTCTATGCAAACAGTTACTGCAAATTTAAGCAAGATAATTATTTGGAGCAGTAGATTCTTAAGTGTTTATTTTATTATTGGGCTTTAGACCTCCCTTCTGTATTACATATATTCTCTTTTTTTATGTTTCAAATATTACATAAAAAGACAATTGAGAAAGGGGGGCTTCCAGATCCACTCTGGAAGGCAAGCCAGAACCTGGTCCAGGTGTCCTTGGGACTGGGAAACAGCAGAGCGGAACACACCGGCTTGGAGGGCAGGCAGATACCTCAAGAGCACAGAAGCAAAGGGCAGGAGGAGACTTGCAGGTGACGGGTGTATTCATTGACTTGACTGTGATGGAGGTTTCATAGATGTGTACCATGTCAAACTCATCAAACTGAACACTGTAAATATGCTCAGTTTATTGTATACTTTAAACACATAAGAGGTTGTTTGGTACCAACAAAGCTAGTAAAAAGAAAAGCCAGGAAGGTGTTAAGGCAGGCTTTTCTCCCAGCCTGCCCTGTTGGATAAGGCCACTTTCCGTACACAGAGGAATAGGAGTGGGAGAGTCCCCCTGTACTCCCTGCCCCACAGGTGCTGCCATCCTCTCTCTGGAGGATAAGTAAGTGCATTAATTTTCGAGGTCCTGATTTCGATCCTCAGCATCACATAAGATTAAATAAATAAAAAAGAAAGAAAATGAAAGGACCAGTCATCCCCTGGAAGAACAGATTTTCTACTAACGTTTAAAAAAAAAAAGTTCTTTGATACCAGTGTAATCACCAACAGGGATTGATTTCTGTTTCTTCCAGCCTAATAATAGTGCCTTTCCCCCAAAAAAAGTTGTATTTAGTATTTGCCGTATACTGTGGAGTGAATCCAGTTTTTTAAAAAATCACCAGACATTGTATTACCTTTGAGTTATCTAGATTCAGTATTGATTGGAGAAACAAACATTTAAGTGGAATATTGAAGCAGTTGAGAATTTGAAGGTAAAGTAAAATGAATGGTCCTTTACCTGAAGCATTGTTTTGCTCTTCCAACCTGTGTGCCTGCAGCAAGTCCCCGTGAGTTTGAAGTGATGTTTTCTGACATGAAGTTGTTCTTGCATGATAGACGGTGTGTTGAGAGCCCTGCCTGGGAGTGAGGAGCAGCACCGCAAGAAGCTATGTCTGGGAAAGCCCTCCGAGGGCCTCTCCACGCTGCAGTGACGGCCTCAGGAGTTGGTTGTTGCACCTCTAAAGTTCAGCCTTGTTAACTCAGAAAATGAGGATGGATTTCGTGAACCATTGAAAACTTTGTTAGGATATGAATTATGTTGACGAGGACATTTTTATTTTAGACTTATTTGTGTATTTTTCAGAATATGGCAATGTGTTTAATGCTTTAATGAGATCAGTGTCATCACCAACAGGGATGGATTTCTGTTTATCTCAGTTTCTATTTATACAGCCAGTTTGAAAGGGGCTGGCTCACTGGAGTCATATCTCAACAGGGAATTGCATATCTTTTGCGAAGTATTAATTCCTTTGGATTACAAGGGTGACAATTAGTAAATTGTCCAGGGAAATAAGTGACAATCTGCTCATATTTTAAGAATCCATGTATAGATAACCAGAAGGGTCATGTTTATACCTAAAATCATTCTAGCATTCAAAAATTACTTAATTGGGACTGTCTTAAAGTCTCCATTTTGAAACTATATTTTTAAAATTAGTAATCTCTTGGGCTGGAGGTCTAGCTCAGTGGTAAAGTACTAGCCAGCATGTAC